GATTTTGAAAAGTGGCCTAAAGTGAGGACAAGCTGAGGGGCTCTATGAAATAGGGCCTGGAGGGCTGGGTCCAGGTCTTGGCAAGAGACAGGAGAGGCCGGGGGAATTGAAGGGGGAATGGGTAAAGCTGGAGACCCAAGGGATGTCTGCACCACTGGGGATGCTCACAATATCCGAGGTTGCTGGGAGTAGCCATTACTAGGCGTTGGTGAGTTAAACATCAGCCCTCCTCTAAGAGAGAGGGGGAGGGAGGGAGGGAGGGAGGTTGGGGCTCTCAGGGCCCCACCCCTGCTGACCGACAAGGCTGACCTGAGGTGTGGGACGGCAGGAGGTGCGCTGTTGCCAGCCTGCCACACCATGTCCTCACTTATTTGCTAATGAAGCAACATTTACTGGGTGTACCAGGCACCATGCTGGCACCAAGGGTGTTAACATGAACATAACGTCTCTCAACCCAAAGGGTGCACTATCTAGACCAGGTTGCAAACGGATAGCCCACTTGCACCCAGATTTGGCCCTCCAATGTGCTTGCTTTGGCCCCCTCATTTAAAAATTGGAAACTGCCACCCAGCTGGCATGGCTCAGTGGTTGAGTGTCAACCCATGAACCAAGAAGTACCCAGTTCGATTCCTGGTCAGGGCACATGCCCAAGTTGTGGGCTCCATCCTCAGTAGGGGATGTGCAGGAGGCAGCCGATTGATGCCTCTGTCATTGATGTTTCTATCTATCCCTCTCCCTTTCTCTCTAAAATCAATAAACACATATTTTAAAAAAATTGGAAACTGCCCATAAAGATCTGATTTCTGGGTTCTCTTGACAAATCAAAAGATCTGGCATCCCTGGTCTGCATTCCTACCTGGCAGCAGCTGGTGAGAATGAGACGTGGCTGCTCCCTTCCCTGCCCACCCAGATGGGCACGCCTGATCCAGTTTGCTGCAGTCCTCACCACTCCCTATGGCATCGTGCCTGGTCTTCTTTCTTCAGTGCTTCTCCTCCTAGCCCCTGTAGACATTGAAGCTAATTTGGATGAGGAATCAATGCAGGCTTCACAGAGGAGGGCAGTGGGTCTTGATCTGCTGTTATAGTGGGTTCCCTTCCAAGTCTTCTCAGTTCTCAGTCTTCAGGGCGGTGAGTTCTTCAGATCCTTTCCTGAGAGAGGATTTACAGTGTGTGCGGGGGTGGGGGCATGAGCGGGAGACCAGATGCTGAGATGACACACCAAGGCCCGTGGAAGTGGTTCTCAAAGTATGGGCCACCTGGGTCAGAGTCACCTGGGGATGCTGGTTCAAAACACTGACCTTCTGCAGAATCTGGGGTGAACCCAGGTCATTGCTGAGGTCATTCAAATTAGAGGACCACAGAGAAGAGGAGTCTGGGGCTTAGCAGGCAGTGAGGTCAGACACAAGGCATGCTTTCCAGGGTCAGGCTGGGGACCCCACTCCATCTTCCAGTCTGCCTCTGGGGACTTGCTGTGAACACCCCCTTCTGGGCACAGCTGAGGCCCTCACAGAGCTAAGAGCACGAGAAACATCTCCAGCTTCCCTGCCCCGCCCCTGCACCTGGAGGAAAGGTCATGCTTGCCTTTGCCAAGCCTTGTCATTTCCCCGAATCTCTGAACTGTCTTCTGGGCAGGGAGCCAACTCCAGGGAGTGGGACAGTGGCTGGCTGGCAGGTAAGGGCCACCTTGTCTCCCTTCACCTTCTCAGCAAGGTGGCCTGACAGTAGCTGGTCTCTGGCCAAGGGGTAGGATTTGGTGATTTGTTCAAGAAGATGCCTTCCTGAGTTGGGGGCAGGGCGAGGGCCCTGGCTGCTTTTTCCTTTGGAGCCTTCTGCTGTGGTGTGGGAGGTGCATGTGGGGTGACCAGGGTAGGGGTTAGGCTGCAGGGCGTGAGAAAGGGGCACTCACTCTCAGGGGCTTGCAGGTAAAGGGGAGTGACCCTGAGAGTGAGTGCCTGCTACGAGTGAGGTGCCTAGGGAGCAAAATGTGGGGCCACCCTGTGCTCGAAAGGGCCTGAGCTAGTGCTTCATTAAATGTCACCTCACTCACCTTCCCCTAGTCCCTGTCACTGCAGCTCAGGGAGTCTGGGAGATGTGCCAGGATGGCAGGCAAAGGAGGGCATCGAGAGCATTCTTGTCTCTGGAACAAGACCACTGGTTCTCAGCCTTGACTATACATGAGAACTCTCTGGAAGCTTTACAAAATCCTGCTATCTAGGCCCCACCCCCTTGGTCTGGGGTGCAGCCTGCTGTTGCGGTTTTTAAAGGCTCCCCAGGGGGTTCTAGGGTGAGAACCTCTGCTCTCAGGGTGGGTGCTGTTTACAGGTTTTCCTTTCATTGGTTTTCAGACTACCAATCACGACACAGGCTTCCAGGGGCAGCATAGGAAACCTAGCTCCCAGCAGATGGGGAGTGGAAAGAAAGCCTAAGATTCCAGCTCCCAGCCTGTGCCAGGTGCATCTGGTTTGTTATTTAACAACTAACCCTGGGAGGTGAATGCTCCCAGGCTCAGCTTACAGGTGAGGAGCCCGAGTCTTGGCCACGCTGACGATGTTGTCGATGCGGAGCCGCTGTGGGATGGCAGAGCCATAAATGAAATTGATGTGTGACAAGCAAAGGGTAGGAATGAAAGTCAGCACTGCTGTTTTCACACTCATTTTTCAAACAAAGTATTTCTGGGGTCAACTGGTGGAGGAGACCATTTGGCAAAGAATCGAGCTCCCAGCTCCCCAGAGTTGCTGCAGTTCCACCAATTAGGTCATTGGATTCAACCAGAAAATACTCATGGAAGGGGAAATAGGGGAGGCTGTTCAGTCACGTCGTATTTTGGATGACTGAGTGATTTTGTGGGGAGCCGGTCCCAGGATCCTGGCAGACCCTCCCTTCCTGGCAGACAGACAGAAAACCCAAGGAACATGCCACAGAAGCTTCTGAGATATGGAGGGAGCATTTGAGGTAAGGCTTGAAAGATGCTGAAAGTTGCTATTTAATAGGTAACTGTATGCAAAAGAATGATTACACTGGCTTCCCAAACCCGTGACAATGCCGTGAGCAGCTTTTTGCAATGGTGGCAAAAGTCCGCTGTAATCTGCCACCAGCTCCTCCTGCTTTTCCAGAGCGGTTCCTGCAGCAGCAGTGGGGCAGGGAGAGAACACCAGGTCCAGTGTGGGGGGACCTGCCTGCTGAAGTCCTGTTTGGCCACTTACTGGCTCCCTCATCTTGGGCTTAGCCCGAGTCCTTCTGTCCTCATAAACGTTTTGGGGACTTGTGCTTCCGTCCAATATGGAGTAGCAGGGACTGGATTTACTCTTTCACCTGAAACAATTAACAAACAGACCAAATACATGAAACAATGGTTTTCAAGACACTGGACATTAGGCCATGAAGTTTAGTGACCCCAGATCCTTGATTATCTCTGCTTACTGCCCTGTGAGAGTTTCTAGGTTACAGAGCACAGGGAGAGGGGACTAAGGCCAGGGGGGAGAAATGGAAGTATACTATTGTAAATCCTCATACTTGATGTGAAGTGGTACAATTTCACCTGAAGGCAGATGGTGATAAGTTCAGGGTATATGTTAAATGCTAAAGCAATCACTCAAATAGCAAAGGATTAGAGCCAATGAAGGAGATAAAAATGGAATCATCATAAGTAATCCAAAAGAAGGTGAGAAAAGGGAATAAAAAACAGATGGAATAAATAGGAAACAAATAGCAAGAAGAGAGGCTCAAGCCTCACCATATCAATAATCACATTAAATGTAAATGGTCTAAACATCATTTAGAGATTGCCATGTATTTTGGCTATTAACCCCTTATCAGATATCTGGTTTGCAAATATTTTCTCTCCTTCCATAGGTTGTCTTTCCATTTTGTTGTTTCCAAGAAACACACTTTTTAAATATAAAGACACAAATATGTTAAATGTGAAAGGGTAGAAAAAGATATACCATGTTAACACTACTCGGAATAAAGCTGGAATGGCTGCATTAATACTGGACAAAGTAGATTTTAAAACAAAGCCAATTACCTGGGTGATCAATATCTATATATCTAATCTGTATCTATAACATAGGAAAGAGTGGACCTTTGCCTCATTGGATTTTGGTAAGAACTAAGTGAGATAGTATCTGGAAAAGTGATTTGTAGACTGTAAAACCTGATACAGGTGTCATTAGATTTTAATTATTAGAAATTAGACTGTCTGAATCCTTATAAAGAGCCAGGCAGCTGGGTTTGAACTATTTCGTTCTCAAGAGAAAAAGGAAATACCACACACAGCGGCTTCGAGGAGGGCAGGGTAGGGGCTGGCCAGAGTAGTTGGGGCCAGAAACATCAGTGAGCTCGTGTCTGGACCAGCACTCTCAGCCCTGGCAAGTTGACTGGAATCTGCAGGAACAGGGGACTTTCCTCAGCTGCAGAGGAGGGACAGGCCTGGGCTGAGAGCCTCAATCCCATGAGCCCCAGGAGCTCTGGTGATCCCAGCAGATGCTTGGCTAAAAGGAAAACTATGACTTTTACTGTGCTAAGCCCTTTCTGAGCCTCTTCTTATTTATTAGCCTTAACTGGTTAGAACTCATATCATCATCTCCATTTAACATTTAAGGAAATGGAAGCCCATGATGGAGCCATTAACCCAATGATTCAGAGTTTAGACCCATGAAGACTAGAGCAGAGCCCAAGCCTTAAACACAATCCCCACTGTGAGGTACGAGGAAGGTTTCAGCCAGCAGGGGTTTACACTGGACTCCACAGGAGGGAATATAGGGGCTGTGGAGACAGGCAAGCCCCTCCACCCTCCACCCCAGGCAGGGTGTCCCCGCACCGCCCTCATCCACCCCCTCCCCATTCCCATGGCCCTTACCTAGCAGGTGAGGAGTGGGGACTAGCTAGTTGGAGGCAAGGGGTTATCTTGGAGGCTGTGCCATGGTCCCCTGACTGCCCTCTACATTCAGGAGTCTCAGAGTCACAGAGAACCTTGGTTTTCTTGTCTAAAAAATGGGGTAATGGTACTGGCCTCTGGTGGCTATCCCAAGGTTCTGTGAGAATGAGGCAGTTTTTAATGAAATGCTGACATATGACAGGATTGCTTCTGTCTTTCCTCTCTGTCTCCCCAAACTCCTGACCCTGATGTCCCCCCTCTCTCTCAATGATATTGCTCTCCCCTCAGACCCTCCTCTGCCTCCTCATGGCTTTGGAGCCTGTGGCTCTGGGCTGCCACCCGGGGCAGGTGGAGGGCTTCTCCTTCATGACCCTGGAAGGGGTGCTGTTGGTGAGAGAAGGGACGGGTGGGGAAGACATGAGGGCCCAGTGAGACTGAGTTATTTAGTGGTTCATTGGTGTATGTGTGTGTGTTTTAAATCGAGGTGAAATTCATAACTGACCATTTTATTTTACTTTATTTTATTTTATTAATTTATTTTTGTGTGCCCTGACCAGGAATCAAACCAGCAACCTTTTGGTGCAAGGGATGATGCTGAACCAACTGAGCCACACCAGCCAGATCACAGTTGACCATTTTAAAGCATACAGTTCAGCGGCACTTAGCACATTCACAGTGTTGTGTCACCACCATCCTTCTCTAGTGTCAAAACGTTTCCATCCTTCCCAAGAAGAGCACTTGTGTCTGTCAAGTAATCACTTCCCTTTCCTTCCCTCCCCAGCCCCTGGCAACCACTAATCTGCTTTCCCTTCCCATGGAGTTGCCTGTTCTAGTCATTTCATATACCGGGGATCATACAATATGTGACCTTTTGTGACTGGCTTCTTTCACTTAACAGGTTTTCGAGGTTTATCCGAATTGCAGCTTGGATGAATACTTAATTCATTCTTACTGCATGCACATACTATGGTTTGTTTAATCCGCTCAGCCATTGATGGACAGTTGGGGTGTTTCCACCTTTTGGGTCATTGTGGATAGTGCTGTCATGACCATCTGTGAACAACTGTCCGCTTGAGGACCTATTTTCAATTCTTTTTGAGCATATACCTAGGAGTGGAATTGCTGGGTCATACAGCCGTTTTATGTTTAACTTTTGAGCAACTGCCAAACTGTTTCCTACAGCTGCTATCCCTCCCTTTAGTTTTAAGATTATGTTATTCTAAGTACAAAGATAATACAATACCATAATTTGGAAATTATTTGTTAAACAATTGTTTGTTTTAAAATAATTTTAAAAATGATAAAATAATACCTGTTTATTGTAACAGTTCAACTAAAGAAATTTCTAGAAGAAAAAATGTCTCTTCTATCTGTTTCACCCTGTTCCTCTCCTGTGGCTGACCAGTTTTAACCCTGTAGTCTGTATCCTTCCAAACATGTTCTAGGCATTTATATGGTTTTTAATTTTTTTTACATGAATGTGTCATACTATCCATATTACCTTGCTTTGAAATCTTTCTCTCCTTTTCTTGTAAATTTTGACTGTTCCAGTGATTGTCTTGGAGCCAAGCAGAGTCCCTGGGACCCTCAGATCTGAGGCCTGACCTTGCACTGTTTTAAAAAAGTCAGCTTCAGGTGTGGGTTGCTGGATGGTGAATGTATTATAGTTCTCTTTTGTTACTTGCATCTATAATTTTTTTATGAAATGAATATGAATTGCTTTTATAATAAGAAAAATGAAGTGGGGAAGAAGAATTGAGGTCCCGAAGGCCCGGCGCACAGTTTGTGTCTTAATTTAGCACTTACTTCATCCTTCTGGCTGCATAATGAGTTGTTTATGTGTTTGTGTCCCTTGAGGGCGGACAGGGCTTATGCTTCTCCCTACTCCTGCAGAGCGGGCCAGGCCCGCAAGGGGCTCCTCCGGGGTGTGGCTGGGGCTGCAGAGGGGAGGGTGGGTTCCAAAGACCCCGGCCATGTGCCCTCAGCTCAGGCTCACAAAAAGACCAACATCTCCTGGGGGGGGCCTGCTGGCTGGTCCTGCTCCCTGCCGGGGCATCCGGGCCCACCTCCGTGGGAAGCTGGGTGTGGGTACAGGGGCAGTTATTTATGTGGCCCCAGCCAGGGTGCCCGTGGCGGGCAGCACCCAGCCGAGGAAGTAATTAGAGTGCTGCCAGGAGCGGGAAGCAGGGAGAGGGCTGGAGGCTCCGGCTCCCTTTCAGAGCGATATAAATAGCTGACTGTTGGCGGAGGTGGAGAGCGGCGCACACAGGAATAGAGGTGGGAGCAGCCAGCGCCTGGACGCGGGGGTGGGAGCTTGTCTGTCTGTCTGGGCTTGTCTGTCTGTTAGTCTGGTTTGGGAAGGTGCAGGGGAGTCGCACTAGCTGGCAAGGGGTGTGTGATCAAGAGGGTACCTGGCCAGGTCCTCCTTCCCCTGCCTGGGGTTCTCCCACTTGTCCCCTCACAAGACTAGCTTGCCTGGAGCTCAGACCACTGGTAGGGGCATCACGACAGCCCCACGGACTCCTGCTGGTCCTAGTTCCCTGCCTCAGTCTTCCCACCAGGAGCTATGAAGGGCTGGGGTGGGATTCCAGAGTCCCCGAGCATTTATAGCCTTTCCAAGGGAACGGTCTCTGCTGGCACTGGGCAGCTCTGCACCTGACTCATCTGAAAACACTTTATAAATAACCTGGAGGAGACGAGGCCCTGACTAATGAGATCCTCCACACTCTGGGAGCAGGTGGCAGGCCCCAGGGCTGCCTGGGTGCTAGGGCAGAAACACTCCACTCTGGTCGGGAGCCAGGACCAGGGATGCTGGGAGGATCATCAACTTCTGGTAATGGGTGTTGCAGTGATTCTGGGGTCCCCAGGAGTCCTCCTCTCAGCTCTGATGTCAGCATCCCTGCCCTCTGGGGGTGTGCATTGGGGATTTCTGGCTGGGCAAACTGAGCCAGTATGGACTAAACTTGCTGGGTGATCCAGGACAGCCCCTGGCCCTCTCTGGGTAAAATGAGAAGGTTGAACTAGGTGAGTGCTAAGGTCCTGTCCAGTGGTTCTGTACCGTGTTTATTCTGGCACATTGTAAGTGTGGGTGGGTGCCTAGCCATCCCCACATCACCACAGGGGTGTGTGTTGGGGGGTGGAGAACAGGAGGAGCAGCAGCACCCACATCTGGAGCCCTGTGTGCTAGACGAGGAGAGTCTCATTAGTCAGGGCCAGGTAGGCAAGGGGAGCCTGCAGGCCAGTGGTGGCAACTGGGAGGCCAGGTGTCTGAGGGGTGTGCTTGGATGGGGCCTGGTTATTGTCCCCAAGGAAGCAGACGTTTGACTGTGTCACCACGGAAGGCTGACTAGGACCTGGGAAGCTGCCTCCAGGTTGGCATGTCCTATGACCTTCTGGCCAGGGTGTATGTAGCTTGCGAGGTGGTGAGCTCCCTGTTCCTGAATGAGTCACTTCTGGGAGAATGAGGAGGGAGGGATTCCCCACCAAGTGAGGCCTGCGGTTCAGTAGTTCCCAGTGGGGCCGGGCTTCAGGATCCCCGGAGGAGTTTGTCGATTACACAAATCCCCAAGTCCCCCGACCTCCTGAGTGGGGCGAGGGATTCTCTGAGCGACACGGCCCCCATGTTGGCCCTCTAGCCCTGTGATTTTCTGGTGCTTACCTCAGAGAGCTGGGGCTGAAAGTACCCCAGCTTCTCCACCCTAAACGTGTCACTCCAGGTAGCTTTCGAGCATTCGGCAACTCCTGACGTGGCGACAATAACTGAAGATCCAACAACCACCTCAGGAGACCAGGAATACGAAAGGTAGTCAGTTGCCTTGGCAGCCACACAGAACCTGGACAAATGGCATCCTCGGAGGCCACCGAGGAAACAGATGTCAGGCATTATGCTGTAGGCGTTGGAGTATCTTTTGAGGGAAACAGAACCAGATGAGACACTCAGCTCTGTCAGTTAGTCCATTCAAACTCAGCCCCTGACCAGGGGGAGCCTGGTGCGGCCGGTGTCTGTAAGGTCCTCTCCTCCCCCCTCCGTTTCCTTCCCTACAAATAGCCTCCACCCCATTTGCTTATGGCTTGTTGGAGTGGCTGACAGTCTAACACATTTTCTGTTTATCGTGTCCCCCCTGGGGCCTTCAGGAGATACCTTTAACTCCAGGGTGTGGCTGCTGGACTTGCAGGCTGGCAGGGGTGGGGTTTGGAACAGGCCGGCCTTTAGGCTCTGAATTCCCTCTCGGGGAGTGGAGACCCCTGGAAAGAGATGAGATCTGCTTCCAGGCAGCCGGGGTGGAATCCTGACTTAATTACTTAGCCGTGTCACCTTGTGCAAGCTGTTTGCCCACCTGAAATCTGGGTATAATGAAAGTACCACCTTCCTCTTAGGGTGGCTGTGAGGATTGAGATGATGTATCTGAGGCCCTGGGCTTGGGCCTGGCACAGAGTGAGGGCTCAGCGAAAGAGAGCACTGCTGCTGCTGCAGGATGCCGGGCCTGTCCTCCTGCAGAGCGCTGAGCCACCGGAGGGGACCCTGCCATCCCAGGCCTGTCCAAATCAATGCTGAGCCCACTGGGCCCCTATTCCATGTCCAGGGCATGAGGCCAAGGCTCCCCCCCTGAGGGAGCTTCTACCTGACTATGGCTCTTTATGCAGAAGTGGGGTCCTGAGGGTGGAGACGACCACCTCTACCTGGTCCTTCGAGCTTGTTCTTTCTGCCTGACCTGGCATGGCCACCTGATGGGGTGGGCCACCCTAGAGCCCAGTGAGGCGTCCCTGCTCACTGTGTTGGATGGATCCTTCTGACACTAAGTGACTTCAATTTCAGGGAGACCTCCTGAAGATTCCAATTTCCTGCTGACCTATGTGTAAAATGACCCTAATGAGGGAGGGAATCCAGACATATATGAACAGCTGTAAGGCAGGAGAATTTGCAGACTTCAGGGTGTCATGCCTGGGAGAGCCCTTAGGGTCATGAGGCCCACCCTCCTCTTTTAAATGATGGAGAACCTGAGGTCCAGAGAGGGACCTGTCAAATGTCACACAGCTATTAAGATACTGAGCTGCGATTCAAACCTGGGTTTCCAGGCTCCTCATCCACTGCTCTCTCCACTGCACCCCAACAGCCAGGGCACTGACCACAGAGACTATTCAAATAATCATTACACCACACTGCCATCTTCCTCTCCAGCACCTGACCCCAGCCTTCTGGAACGAGGCCACTGTACGTGTAGAATCTGCTGGGCTTGGTTTAAGATGGGTTTAAATGCCATTAGGGATGACACCCTACTCCCTCCATTCAGAAATTGCTTTCACTGAGAGGAAATAGTTCCTGTCACTTAGCCTAAATTCTCAGGAATTCATCGGATTCCATTTCACACAATCACACCTCTTCAGGTCAT